TTGCAGAGACAAGCTATTTCACTCGTGATTGGAGGCTCGTGATTGGAGGAAGCCTGTTTGCAGAGACAAGCTATTTCACTCGTGATTGGAGGCTCGTGATAGGAGGAAGCCTGTTTGCAGAGACAAAGTATGGGCAGTTCTGCAACCATGTGGTTCTCTCCTTGGCTTACTTCCTTGCATAAGATGCCCTTCAATTTTTAGTGTAATGATTTTAGAAAAAAGGATCGTCTTATAGACGGAAAAATACAGTAATAATCAGGTTGCAGTGCTCTTTCATATTTGGTGGCAATATTGCAAAGTTCAGCAATTCTGGAAATGATTTATTGCAGAATGAAACAAATCCTAAAGGTTGAATCTTCTTTCCCACCAGCAGTTTTTCTGCTAAACTTCACTAAATTTTGTATCTCTACGAAGTATACAGAGCTGACTTATGATAACAGTTGCCGGAATAGGCCTCTTATTGGAAATTAAACACAACTCCTTCTGTGTAAGAATGAGAAATCAAATTATGGGACTATGCATCAGTGTCAAAAATAACTCCATATTTGAAAAACAAGTCTGATGGGGAATTTAATTTAACTTGAAAATCATTTATGGATTACAGTTCTACACATGGCTTTGTACCACATCTGAAATTTGCATTTCTCTTAACATAAAGTTTTAAAATATTATACCTTGCCTGATTTATTAGAGTAAGGAAAGACTTTCTCAGATTAGATAGAAATTCCTATTTATTGTTCATTCTGACCAGGGATTCTTAGGATACTGACCATGCTGAATAATTATTGAACATTGATTCAATTTTAATGATGGTTTAAAGTGCTAAATTGACATAAAGACTGCCTTTTACAGTATTAGTGTTGCTCCAGACATTCTTTTACAGCTTCATGCAACTTGTAAAACTTTTTTTCTATTTCGAAAAACAAGAAAAAAACATTTATTTGGAAAAGAAATATAGAACAAAGTTTGATGTATAAGAACGTGAATGAAAAAAAAAATTAAGTGCCTTTTAAAAATATAAATACAAATGTAGCTGTGACTTTTCTTAGAGGGCTAGAAATAATGAATGTATTTACGTTTAAAGCACAAGGCCTTTACCAGATGAATCTGAAGAAATGTCTACTTTCCCTGTCTGTCTTCCTCCATACTCTGGTCATTTAGAGAAATGGTACACTGTGCTTCTATTTCTAATGATTAAAGTCCTATCAGATTACAAAATAGACCCTTTTATGAAATAGCACCTTTGTGATCTTAAGGAGGTTTACTCAGCCATACAAATAGTTTGTTATATTCTCTTTCATTTACAAAAAGCAATACTGGACCTCGGAAGAGAAAGTCCAATACTGGAGAAATGCAGTAGTTCTAAAGTTCAGTAAAAGTGAGGCATGAGGTGACATTGGTACAATCAATATTTCTCTGCCTGTTACAAGGATAAGAAAGGGGGAGGGGGAGCAGCAAAATTCTGGAAGTTTTAACAGTTGGATAAATCCAGTGTTATATGAATAGACTTCCCTTCCCCATCTCTTCTTTGCATTTCTCCTGCATAAAATCTCAAGTTCCCCGTCTCTCTGGAACCAATTTTTGAGATTCTGGACGCTGAGATTGACATTCTGGACGCTGTAGGGAAGGGAGTGGGAATTTGGTCCCCTGGGCTTTATGATCTTGTTTCTTTTGCATAGGTCCCAAATTTCATCAATGCCACCTTGCCACCTCACGAGCGCATCACGGCTCAGGAGATTGATAACTACTTTCGCCGTGAGCTTATCTACAAGCGGAATGAGCGGATGGGCAAGCGAGTGAAAGATTTACTGGAAGAGTATCCAGATAAAAGCTTCTTCTTTGCATTTGGAGCTGGTAGGGATACATTTTAGATGTTTTTTAAAAGATAAAATGGATAAATTGATTTCTTTGTGTTGATAATATGGAAATATGCAATTCACAAGAGAGCATGCTGAATCATTGGGTTTTCACACCAAAAATGGCAATTCTTCATAGCCATCAAAAGATGAGTTGCACTCATTAAGCTTCTTCAGTATCTCATTATAAAATCCAGTCTCAATGGATTTTTCTTTGCTTTTTTCCTTTTCTGTTTTTATGTGGTTTTACTGTTTTTACTTTTTGTTATTGATGTTTTTGTTGTATTACCTGCCAAGAGTTGCTTTGTGAGATGGGTAGCCATATCAGTCCAATAAATACATAAACAAATTTAAATGCAGTTGTGAAAGCAAACAGGTATGGTTAAATTCAGAGTGCCAGCATAGGTTCAGTGGTATAGAGTGGTATCATTTTGATTGTATTCTATGCCTTTTCTCAAGGTGAAAATTATCTCTTAAGGAAGTAGGAATTTAGGCTCCAACCTAAATCCAAAGAATCTTAATTGGGCTTGTTTAATATAAAACTGTCTTACGGTGGTGTTTTCCTACTAATGAAATAGCTTCACCGGCTGGGCTCTACCCACCTCCCAAGCACGAATCTGGTCTCAGGGCATTTTGGAAGATACAAGCCAAGCCACCGGATATAAATTTGGCAACTTAGATGGTTTAAAATCCAGAGTGCTCCTTTTCATTAAAGTGTGTATTCATCCCCAAAAATGATTGTGATATTTTTTAGAGATTTTTTTAAAAGATTGACCAGTTTCTTATGTCAGTCTGTACTATCTGGAGGAGTTCTCTACATAAGGAGCAGAGAGCAACTGAATTTCAGTGCATATTTTGTGAGGTAATTAAATGATCTTAGATAATATCTGTTCTGGCATGCATAAATATTGTATTGGCAGAGAGTCCATATGTACTCAATTTTCTCCATAATTTCCTTTTCCCTCAAGGAAAGACTGATCAGGTGCACATTATCCAAGTCAGGTTTTGTGTACTCCTGGGTCTTGGCATTGTGTAAATTAACATCTGTCACTTCTCTCTGAATTTCTGTTGGCATGTAGTGTGGAGTGTTTAATGTTGGCTAACCCTTCTGATCATTGGAGGTACTGGAAGTATTCCCAGTGTCAGCCATTTTTAAACTGGGCTTGGAATATTCTATAACAATGAACCTATAATTAAAGATTTATTTAAATGTATTTTTGAAGCTATGTACTGATTTAAATGTGTAGGTTTTGTAGATGAATGGCAATAATTCTGAAATAAAGATGTTCTTATTAGGCCTTAGAATGCTTTCAAATATTCATATTGCAGTAGACTTCATCTTTCCCCCTCAGATTTCTGTGTTGCCAGTGATTCCAAAGAGATTTGCAAGAGGTAATGCCTCTTCAAAAGTAGCACTTTTGCATATTAAAAAGCATATTCCTTTTTAAATAAAGGCACTTCATTAAGAATCAAAATGCATCCATCCTTGCTCTTCTTGACCTCTCAGCAGCTTTCGATACCATTGACCATGGTATCCTTTTGGGTTGACTTGGGGAGTTGGGAACGGGCGGTACAGTTTTGTGCTGGTTCTCTTCCTTCCTCCAAGGTCGATCCCAATCGGTGTTGATTGGGGGTGAGAGGTCCAGCTTGTGGCCCCTCCTTTCTGGGGTGCCCGAGGGTTCAGTACCCTCTCCGCTCCTTTTTAACATCTACATGAAACCACTGGGTGAGATCATCCGCCACCATGCCATGAGGTATCATCAATATGCAGATGATACCCAGTTATACATCTCCATCCTGGGTGAGGTGAGTGATGCTGTGACCACCTTTTCGCAGTGCCTAGAGGCTGTGGGGGTCTGGATGGGGTGCAACAAGCTTCAGCTGAACCCTGGTAAGATGGGGTGGCTATGGATTGGAGGACCCTCTGTATCCAAGGATTTACCATCTTTGATTTTGGACAGGGTTGCACTGCCCCAGACAGACCCGGTGCGTAATCTGGGGGTCCTCCTGGACTCATGACTCCTGCTCAAGGAGCAGGTGGCAGTTGTGGC